CCCATATAACTTTAACCTTTCTTTTTTTTTTAATTTTTTTGACAGAGCTAGACAGTGAGATACAGAAAGAAAGGTCTTCCTTCTGTTGGTTCACCCCCCAAATGGCCGCCACAGCCATCGTGCTGCGCTGATCCGAAGCCAGGAGCCAGGTGCTTCTTCCTGGTCTCCCATGCAGGTGCAAGGCCTAAGGACTTGGGCCATGCTCCACTGCCTTTGCGGGCCACAGCAGAGAGCTAGACTGGAAGAGGAGCAACCAGGACCAGAACCCGGGGTGCCGGTGCCGCAGGCGGAGGATTAGCCTAGTGAGCCGTGGCGCCAGCAACTTTAACCTCTTTCTAGCTATTACTGTCCCTCTAACTTCAGAATGTTCCTTCATACTGCTTCTCAGTTTCCCACTGTTGTTTTAATACTTTTCACCATCAAATAATTTCATCTGTTCTAGAATTTCCTGTTACTACACGAAGCATTTAGAATTTCATGTTAATTGAGTCATACAGTGTTTACTCTTTTGTGTAAGGATTTTCTCATTTAAGATAACACTTTTGTGATTTATCCAAGTTGTTTTGAGTATAAGGAGTTTTCTCCTTATAGTTATTGAGTACTATTCCATTGTAAGAATGATAATTTATTTTCCTCTTGACAAACACCTGGACTGTTTCCAGCTCTTAATGAAAATGTTTTCATTTCTCTTAGGCACATAACTAGAAATGGAATTGCTCTGTCATAGGATAGGTATATGGTTTATACACACGTATATATAGGGAGTTGTGCTATTTTAACTCCCATCAACAATGTATGAGAATTTCTATTGCTCCACATTACCAATATTTGACATCATCTGTCTTTTTTATTCAGGCTGACAAGTGCTCACAGTTTTGAAATACAAAATAAAAATATTCTCAATACATAGTTTCCATTATCAATAGGTGACTTAGGCTGTGTTTGCATTCATGTCCTATTAGAATAGCCATTTGGTTTTCTTAAACTAGGATTAAGTCATTAAATCATGATTCTTGTCCTAAAGCAGTTGATTGAAAGCACATTTGTAGTTATTTTTGATGTTTTTGGATTCACCTTGAACTCTAAATCACTGAAATTTTGTTGAATTTTTAAGATTTTTTTGAAGACTGAAACTTTTAAATTAATCAAAATAATTAGTTTAGCTCTTAGGTTCATTGGGAAAAAAAATAATCACTGCCAACCACTAACTCATAAAATTCCTTTGACTAAATTAAATGAACATCACCTCAAGGGTGACTCTCGGAGATCTAAACTTTGATTAATAAGAGTGAATTATTTTAGGCCAAGCACAAGAAATATGCAGTAAAGTTACCCCAGGTTAAGTTGCTCTCAGTTCCTGGAGGAAGTCCATAGGTCTCATTTTATTCTAATGCAAATATTTCCTTAGGTTCACAAGTTTATCCTGAGGATATTTCAAGCCTTTAAATTGCTGTTTTCTTGGCCTTTCCCCCATTCTCCATACTCTGACTCTTGCTCATTTGTTAAGAGAATAATCTAAATGCACTTTGTGTTTCTCAAAAAGGTATTCCAGGCCATTGCTTACATCAGACATATAACCCACTTGGCTACTTGTCTTTTAATGAACTTGCAATAAACGGTACCAGTAACACATCTAGACCTCTCGAGCGGGAGAAATAAGTTGTATGAGCCCTGAGGTTGATGGAACCTGCGTGAAACACCACCACGAAAGACACTTCAGCTTTTCCACTGCTCTTTACTAGTTCCTTTCTTTCTCTAGATGTCAGTCTCCCAAGGTATTAAAAGATAACATATGACTGTGAGTGTGAATTTTTTAACCAGAAAATGCACCTGTAGCATTGATTTTTATTAAGCAGATGGTATTTCTGGAGACACCTATTCAATTTCTTCCCATAACATGTATGAGGATGCAGTCAAGTTCCACAGTTTCCAGAATCTACGTGGGTTACGAAGGCATTAGGGGGATGGCCCCCACCAAACACTTTATATTGGGTATTTTAATCTCTGTTCTAACTTGTCATTTTTTCACAAACATTTAATATATTGCATTATATGCAACAGTAAAACAAAGTTTTACAAACTGTAAAACAAAATATACTGGCCCTTAAGATATGGTAATATGGTAGTCATTTGTTTAAATTACATAAAATGTCAACTATATATGGAGCTTGCACATTTTTGAAACTAAGCCACCAGGCACATATTTTGTACTCTGAAAATAAGAATACTTCACAGCTTGGAATGATATTGTACTGGCTAATTATCCCACTCAGAAAGTGTACAATACATGCAACAGATTATACAGGGTTTTGCTGTTTTAATTTCCACGTGACCCAACCAAAGCCAATGTTATACAGAAATGAATATAGGCAGCTGCAATTGGGATAGTGAGAAGCACAGGAAAGACCTGCCTGCCTTAAGATATTTTCCCTCTAGCCTGTCTTTGTAATAAAACATTACCTTCAGACTTTCCTATAAAAAGCAATATTTGGCAAATAATACAACAGGATCACCTTTTAGTACATGTACTGCTAATTCCTGTTGTCTGTTCAGAACATAGCTGGACCAAAAGGGAACAGACCACAATCAGGGTCATCTCAAAAGGCTGGAAATGACATGAAATAATCAAAGGGAGGGTGTGTGTTGGGAGGTGAGGGGTAGGAGGTGTATTAAGCAGCCTTCTGTCACTCTAACAATAATACGTAAACCAAGCTACTTACAGGGGAAGGAGTTTTGTTTTTGCTCACCATTTTGGGAACTTAAGAGATGAGCCCCAGAGAGCTGATGGTGGAGTTTGCAGAGGAAGGATCACAACACAAGCCAAAAACCCAAGAGAAAAGCTAGGCTCAACTGTGCTTTTAGACCCAACCAACTAGGGCGAACTATCTTTCAAGGGCAAGCCGCGCCCCCACCCCGTGAACTCGGGACCTCCTGCTCCGCCCACCTCCTGAAGACCATGATGAGATCGAGTCTCCACCCTCCCAGCACCACCAACTCGTGACCCTGGCTTTAAAGCCCTCCATGAATTGGGAAGCCACATCACATTGAAACTATAGCAGGTGCGGGGTGAGGGTGGTGACTCTGGGTGGCTGGAGAAAAAAAATACTTGGAGATAGAAAGCACCTGTGAGAGGAAGGCAGCCAGAACACCTGAGATTTTCACCGAGGGAACATTGGCTTCCAGTGCTGACCTAGGGCTGGACCCAGGAGACGCAAATGAAAAAGGAATGCGATCTTTTCATTTACAGATAAAGCCACATTTTACCCAAAATTTCTTCTGAGACACTTGATTCCCACACAGGAAAGACATAGGATGACTGTGCGGGCATCACTCATACTGAGGCATAGAATGCTGCATTTTCATGAATTATATAAGCCATATGGTTAGGTAAACTCCTGCTCATCTACTAAATCAGTAGAAAATGAAAACTAATTATCGTCAGAAAGTACTGTGTGTATACAAATTCCTTTTGCTGTGATTCCAGAACTTAAAACTAAAGTCATCATTTTTGTCTGATAACTGCCCCTGATATTTTGCACTCTGCAAAGGAATCAAATCGAAATGCCGCATTATTTCATCACATTTTGTGGCGTTTTTACTGATTGGAGATAGAAATAGAGATAGCACTCCTTTTTAGAGTTTCTTTCCTTTCTCATCTATCAATACACTTTATCTCTTTCATTTAGTTTGCTTTATTTGGCACACACTATTTTAGCTGCATATAAAATAAAGAGCATTATTTTATAGACAATCACTCTCTTAATCAAAAATGATCATTCCATGTTTCGTCATTTTCCCATGTAAACATGTTTATCATGTTGAATAGAGGTGTGGGGAGCAACCCGGACTAGACTAAGTTACTGGAATTAAGACTTATTCTATGCATCTGCTTTCCCACAATATGGCGCTGGGAGAGGAGTAAACAGCTTCTACCCAGCTGCCTCCAGTTCAACCAATAAACAGCAGGACTTGCTCCTGATTGGAGGAGAGCAGCGTACTCGGCGTGTGGGCAGCCGAGTTGGGATTGGCAGAGGAGGACTATAAAGGAGGAGAGAGACGGCATGCACCAGGAACATCTAAGAAGGAACATCTAAGGGGAACATCTGAGGGAACACCTGTGCAGCCCCCGAGAGAGCCGGCCGGCGGTGTGCCGCTCCCCTGCGGAAGTGGGGAATGTGGCAGGGGGAACCGCCCTTCCACGGAGGTGGAAGGGACAGTAGCCAACCCGGGAAGAACCAGCAGCAAACCCGGGGAGGGCCGAGCAGACGAAAGAACAGCGCAGGGTCCTGTGTCGTTCCTCCACGAAGAGGGGGAGCGACAAGAGGAAGACTCAAGGACTTTAGAATAAATTTTCGAGCACAAGTTCGATGTCCATTTAGTTTTTGATTATCAAGCACAATTAGAATTTTATTACTTTTCTCTTTCATAAAATGTTCTGTTTTTTTTTTCCAGTAAAAACATTTGGCCTTTCATAAATTAGTCATACCGAACAATAAGGAATATTCTTTAGACTGAGACAAAAAAAAAAAAAAACCTTGATAAAAATAATTTGTAAATTGTCTCTCTAATCACATTATGCTAGGGCCCCAGTATTAAGGAGCTATCATACCTGGCAATGGGATCACTCTTGTTGGTTTCTCTAAAAACAAGGGTTTTTAATCTCTTTCTGCAGCCTAGGAGATTCTTATGGCTTAAATACATTTTGGAAATTTGTACCAACAGCTAAATTGAAAATGTCTGATATTTGTAATTACTTAAAACGTTGCTGACTTTAAGCTCTCAGCAGAAGCCTGCCACTTAAGGAAGAAAACAGTTCGTCAGAAAGACACTTGTGTAAGAACTGTCACCCTGGCCACTGGCTTGGTGGCAGGAAGTCCTCTATTTTAGTCTCAGGGTTCCAAGGGATCTGTGCTGAGTGCGTTCCCCTCTCGGGGCTGAGACAGATGGGAGATGAGTGAAATCTTGAGAGCGCTCAGAGCTTCTCTTTCCGTCTCTTGCAGCCCGGAAGATGGTGAGATCCACCCTGAAATCTGTCGACTCTACATCCAGCTGCAGTGCTGCTTGGAAATGTACACAACAGAGATGCTCAAGTCCATTTGTCTGTTGGGGTCTCTTCAGTTTCATCGGAAAGGTACCCACCTGTAGTGCATCACAAGAAGCACAGAGGGGTGGCCACCAACAGCTCATCTTCTGCAAAGTGCCCACAATGGGAATGGATTGAAATATCCATGGCTGCCATGTGATCCAACAAGCAGCCTGTATCGGTCTACCTAAGTGCAGAACACTATTCATTTTGAACAGAAATTGTGGTAGAAAGCGTTTTCACATTATTTTATCACTTGTGAACATGATTTTCATGAGAACAGCATAAGTCACAAGTATGTATAATGATCTTACCAGCATAGTCAATGCTACCCAATAGTGCCACTATTTCCCTAAATGAATTACGTTGCAAGAAGACAGATTACATATCATGTCCCAAAGATTTAAAAACAGGGGGAACTCAACAAATAATGGGGGAGCATTTTAGTAATCGATCTCATTTCCTGGTTTAAACCGTAAAGGGAATACATTGGCTCAAATGACTGTTCCCTCCAGTGGTGGCTGTGCCTTCAGCTTGCATTGATCAGATTCCTGACTCCCATTTGAGTGATGCTCTGCCTTCTGGGGGTTGGCTTTACCCTCAAGCTGGCTTCCCCCACATTGTCAAATGGATTGCCACAGTTCCGGTCATCACATCTGCACACTACCTGATCCATAAAGAGAAAAAACTCCCAACCAAAGAGCAAAAGACCCGAGCTTCATTCTGAGTGGAGCAGGACTATTCCTGAACCAATGCTGCAGATGGAATAGAATTCCACTGACTGGTGTAGACAATGAAATTACATCCCTGAGGTCAGGGGTAAAGTCAACCCCACCCAAGCAGTGGCTGTTAGAGGATGAGAGAGGATGGGATAGGATGGACACTGAGGAGAAGCCTGGAAGATTCCATTACTGGAAGCTTCAACCTATATTTTCTTTATTAACTAATTGAACATAATTCATTGGGAACCTCCTGAATACAAACTTTTTGTGCTTAAGCTCAGGAGAATAGGGGAGTGCATAGAAGGTAATACTGTGCTTTTTTAAAGCTTTGTTTATTTATTTGAAAGTCAGAATTACAGAGAAAAGGAGAGAGACAGAGAGAGAGAGAGAGAGAGACCTTCTATCTACTGGTTCACTCCCCCAAACAGCTGCAACAACCTGAGATGGGCCAGGCCGAAGCCAGAAGCCTCATGTGAGTCTCCCACATGGGTGCACAGGCTCAAGCACATGGGCCATCTTCCACCACCATCCAGGTTGCATTAGCAGGGAGCTGGATGGGAAGAGGAGCAGCTGGGATTCAAACCAGCCCCCCATGGGGTGCCGGCACTGCAGAGAGTGGCTTTACCCACTGAGCCACAGTGCCAGATCCCAGAAGGTAATTCTTGAATGCAGATATATAAAAAGTCAGTGAATCCAGGAATAGTCAGGGAAAATCTTAGGGTTCTAATGCTGGAGTACAGTTAGGGAGGGGAAAAAGAAGGATATGTCATGAAAACAAACAGCTAAAATAAAGATTTGAAAGCAAATGAAACATTGCAATCTGGGAGAACTACATAACATAACAAAGTAGCTGGAAAAAAAAAAACAAATTTTGTGTACCCATTTATGTATGCACACAGCAAGATGAAAAACAAGATTGTGCTACGTTGTTCCAGAGACAGAACATTTTGTTTATATATGAATAATATTTCTTTTACATGTTTTTCTTCTAAAGGCTGATCTTTCAATGGTTTCCATCTTTACTTCTGTCTTTTATACAAGACAGCAGGTTTGGAGAGATTGGCTCCTGACACTCCTGAATGCCTAATCAGAAAACCAGGACCCACACTTCACACACGTGTCACTGACACGATGCTTTTACTTGTCCTCTGTCTCTGGTCTCTCTCTCTCCCTCCTACACACACATGCATACATTCACATAGGAACACATGTGTAGTCTTCTTCATTCATCTTAAAGAGTACACCGAGTACGGGGTGGTTGATTTCCCGGGTCAACATTGGCTACACGTGCAGAAAGTCCTGCCCTTGTGGCTGAGGGACTCTTCCTCATTAGTAACACGTCCTTAGCGTGCCCTCCACTCCCACTCTGGCTTTCTCACCTCCTCTCCTTCTGCCATCCATTGCTACTTTTTGTCTTTCCGCAAGTGGCTTTTGGAAGGAAAGCTCTTCTCTGCTAGCTGCCTATTTAAAAGTACAAGGGATTCCATCATCCAGATTGCTTCCTGGCTGCATCTAGCCCTGAGTACACAAATAAAAAGCATGTCATTCCTTAACTGATTGGCTCATTTAGACTTCACTGCCTCCTGTCTTCATTGCCAGTCTCTGTTCTGCTTTCTTCCTGCTGCTGCTTCTAGGAGTAAATTACACAAACCCCGCCTCCTGCTGTAGTGCCTGAACTTCTATGTACAGCTCTTAAAAAGAAAATACTTGATTGCATTTTCATTTCTTCCCCCCGGTGGGGTTAAGCCTCCACTTGGCTTTCTGTCTTATTCCTCTAACATTATTATTACTTAAACATGCCATCTATAGAAAAGCTGCTTCAAAATTCTCCAGACTCCTGGATTCTGTCCAAGGGTGTACTGACACTGTGGGGACCTCGCAGGTGACGCTGAAGCACCGTGAGGGTTGAGAACTCCTGCTCCACCTTTTGAAACAAAAAAATAACTAAATCACAACCACTCCCCCACACATGAATTTATAAAACTTCCAAGCGCTTACCACGCCATTGTCGTTTGCTACTCTCTGCTCCCTTAAGTGTGTGCTTCCAACATCACTTTATGTTTTCTTCTTTCTCCCCCATGCTCATGAAGAACAAATGCAGAAATGGTAGGTGGCCCTGGTGAGTGCAGTGTGTAATGGCGCAAGCAGTGTGTTTTCTCTGTGAACCCTTGATATGACCGTTGAAATAAGCAGTGCCCCTCAAAGTGCGGTCCTGGAACTACCAGCCTGAGCATCCGAGTCACACGTTAAAAGTGCAAATTCTTGGTCCTCACCCCAGACCCACTGAATCACAAGCTCCTCCAAAGCTACTTCTTTTATTGCAGCAAAAAGTTTGCAGAACAATTCATTGGGACATTTCTTCAGCTGACTTTATTTGTAACCTTTTGATCGCCACCTATAATCAGCAAACCTTCTTTCTTCACTTCTTTGGGAGTGTGTGAAGTGAGCATCTCTTGTTTCCAGAATGCACATCCAGGAGCTAGCTGTACTGTGGATTACTGGATTATTACCATTGCCCTGCACCAGCAGGGTTAAGACAATGAGGAAGAGGAGACCTGTTTTCTTTTATGATATATTTATTTTATTTGCGAGGCAGAGTTACAGAGAGGAGGGAGGGAGGGAGAGAGGAAAGGAGAGAGAGAGAGGAGAGAGATATCTTCCATTCACTAGTTCACTCCCCAAATGACCACAGTCACAATGGCCAGGGCTAGGCCAATACGAAGCCAGGAGCCAGGAGCCAGGAGCCAGGAGCTTCTTCTGGGACTCCCAAATGGGTGCAGGGGTCAAAGCACTTGGGCCATCTTCCACGATTTTCCCAGGCCATTAGCAGAGAGCTGGATTGGAAGTGGAGCAGCCAGAACTCGAACCGGCACCCAGATGGGATGCTGGTGCTGCAGGCACTGGCTTAACCTACAACACCACAGCACCAGCCCCCCTGAGAAGACCTGTTTATTGGTGAGAAATTCTCAATTAATGTAGATGTGAAGAAAATAGTAATATGCAGGGTTATAAAACTGTAAGTCACTAGCAGTGGGTATCCAGGAAATGTCATAAAGCAAGAGAAAGTACTGTAAAACACATGCATGAAAATACACACTTAAATTTCCTGAGAATTTCTGGAATGCCAAATAAACACTAGCTCTTGGTGAAGGGATGGTTCCACTAAACAAATCATTTTTAGTTTTCCAGTTCTACTTATAATTATATATAACCTTTCAATTTCTTTCTTCCTCCCATTAATTTCTTCATTGCACCTAAGGGATTAATTCTATAATATTATTATTTTGGATTCCTGGCTTGTCTGGACTGTGTGCTAACTCATTCTCATCTTCAGAATAGCAGAAGATGTCAGCTAGTGTCACCAGTTTTTCTTCTTTCTTTGGTACCATCAGAAATTGTAGAGTAAGTAACCTGTCTGTACCCAAAAATGTATTCAGAATCTGTGGTTGACTCCCTGGGAGGCCCAGATTGAGAACAATAGGAATACATGGCTACAGTGACCTTGAACTGCCAGAAATGAGTTAAGGAAGAAACAGGTCCACAACCATTGCAAGAGAGTATTAAACTTTAAAGAAAAAGTTGGGCACATTTAGAAATATAACGTGTCTTGCACTTAGAGTTTGCAGTCCCTACTGATAAAAATAGTTAGAGAGAAACAGCAATCCTTAGGAACTGTAATAAATTGTTGGAATGAAAGGCAACCAAATGCCTGGCATTCATGACAATCAGAAAAGGGGAAGGGGTAAGGAAGAAGGCTCTACTAATATGACTTACTAAGGCATTGAGACAAGATGTGACTAAGGAGAAATGTCTGTAGACCCTAAATGAGCAATGGAGTGAGGACTGAATGTGAAAGACTGAAAATTTTAGGTAAGGTATAAGAGGCAGAGGGGAGCATGAATGAAGAAATCTGTTGTCTCCTTTTGCCAGAAATGACACATATGTGTGTATGTGTGTGTGTGTGTGTGTATAATTTAAATGTTCTACAAACTTTCAGGGAAAGTGTAATTAAAAGATAAATTTATTTTTGCGCAGAAGTTTTTTGAAATCCATTTTTCTCATGAATGTTTTGAAGAGCCCTTGTTTGCATGGATTTCAAAAATTTGTTGTGCCAAAATAAACTACTTGAAGTACTCTGGTATATTTATATTTTTGCATAGTTTAGCAGAAAGGACCAGTTATCTCCTAGAAAGAAGTCTTTCTACCAAGATTTAAGATTCTGGCTAACTTACCTCACAAGATAATGTGCAGTTTATCCAAAGAGTGGCATGTCTTGTGTGGCCTCAGGCTAGAGAATAAATCTGTCTAGATGACCGTATTTAAATT